TAACCCGATCCAGGACATGAACTGCGACGGGGATGAATGCGACACAAAGCTGAACATCCCCGCTACCATGGTGCATCTGGAGCCTTCGGTCGCTGAGGCTCTCCGGTAAGACCGTCTCACCGGGATTAACTGAACACTTTCAAGGTTAAAGGGATGATGTTTGCTTCCTCTCTGATTAAGCTTCTCTCTCGGTCTGAACACAGCTTTAAATAAAGTCTCTAAAATATTACATAAACTCATCAGGGGGCAGATATAATCTCCTAAAATCAGAAGTGTAGTGCTGTTAATAAACTTATATAAATAGTTTCATCATGTTGAGAACATTACGCAGAAGTCAGGCAAACATCCAGCAAAGTAGTGTCTAACACCACGGATGTAGTAGGTTGTAATTGTCATGGCAATAAGCAGTTAAAGGTGTATTAATACAAGTAGTTTGTGTTTTGAATGATTTAATTTACGCAGATGAAGTCGCAACATCCATTCTGAGGAAAAAGTTGCAGTTTGTGCAGAAATCAAACTCATCTAATAATTCACAATGAAAACGAAGCCAAGCAAACTCTGTGGATGCAGCACGAGCTGGTAAAGTTTAACAGGCTTTGTAATAAAGAAACAGTCAGTAGTGTGAGAGGATGAACTTTACTAATTAACGTTAGCTATCTACAGTGTGGAGGAAAAACTAATTTAATTCACTGTCACTCAAAGGCTTCCAGCTACTTTTAAGTAGAGACGCACCGATCCACCCGTTTGTTTCAGTTCTGATTCCGATACCTGAGTTTCAATGTCTGCTCACACTGATGAATTAACTGAATCTGTACTTTGGTACGATGCAGCACAATTTCCAATCCTCTGAATGTTTGCTTTACTCACATTACCAGTCAAACATATGTCGATCCTACGGACGTTAACTGTTAACTCACTCGGTTGCAGACTGACTTTATGTTACAGCAGGTTCATGGTCCAATGTAAGTTCAACCCGTACGTCTAACTCAATTCTGGGAGACAAAGAAAATGTGAGAACTACTAATATGGTAGTAGAACTGTTTAATACAAATTAATTAATTAATTTCTTGGCTACGTGCTTTAAAATTGCATTATTATATATTCATAAAACTATCAGACTGTTGAATCTGGATCAGTGACGTCAGTCCGATTCTCAATTAGGTCAATATCTGCATCCGATACCAATATTGGATCTGTCCCAACTGTTCTTTTAAGGTGGAATGTTTAACTTGAGATCATGAATCAATCAACACACCTTAAATATCAATATGTCAACTTTGACAGTCCCATTTGTTTTTATTAATATTATTATTCTTTTGCACCATTCCAGGTCTCTAAAGATCAGATAATCAGATTTTATTGGTAATTAATTAAAATCAATTAAAATTATTTCAATTCGGTTCCACCTTTTGTCCACCTCATTGTGATACAATACTTCTGAATTTGTATTGTAGGTCTGGACAGCCGGTGTACGTGTCCCTCCAGTCCACCCCGTCCCCGAGCTTTTTATTCAGCATTGACCAACAGGGGGTGCTGGCGGAGATGGGCTTGTTTCTTTACCCCTCATTCAGCTTCATCAACTGGCAGGTGCAATGGTAAGAACACAGAAGGTCTGAAAGGTACTCTCTGCTGTAACTGGAATACTTTTATCGGTATAGGTTTTATCAAATAAATCTTATTTTATTAGGAGCACTTAAGTATTATTGCATGATTGATGTGTATGATTGCATTAGATTGTACAGCAACTTCCTCTAGACCCTTGATTCAGATAAAGAAAACCCCTTTAATGGGGCAGTAAATGAAAGAAACCCCAGAGAGCAACAGAGGAGAATCCCTCTTTTAGCACAGAGAAACTAATGAGAGAGAGGGACAATTTTGTTTGTTTCTGATTTCTGATTCTGATTCTGATTGAGCGTGCTCGGTTTCCTCGCAGTGTGTCCTAAAGAGTCCTCGTACATATGGAATATGTAACTGTGTGGAAAGACAGAGTCTCTTCACTCAGAGAACCAAAGTTCTTGCATTTTTATCTGTGACTTTGTCTCCAGGTTTGATTTCTACGCAGATCTGCAGACCAAACTTCAAAAACCTGCAAAGGTTGTTCCTGTTTTTGACAAAGTTCAAATGCAGGGAGAGAAAGGAGCGGTTGCCACAGTCGACCTGCCGTTAGGTAACTTCATTGACAATATGTGTGAGATAGGCAGGTTTACATGTCAGCATGTTGTACTTAGTAGCTATTTCAAACCAAAAAGTGACAAGTATTATACGGACATTATTGTTTTAAAGTCCTAATGGGGAAAAAATGGATTTAGACGCTAAAACTTTCCTTTGACATCCAGACGAGTGATATTATTCTTCAGGTTTGCAGCTTTAAGGCAAGGTATTTGATTGTGTTCAACAGTACATAAATGTGCAAAGAAACTTCAAGTTTATTGCAGGTTTTTTAGACTCTTTCTGTGTATCTGTGGTATGAGAGGATTCAGGTCTAACCTTGGGGACTGCTCAAAACAACTAACCCTGTTCTGAATAACAACAATAGCTATATTAAGCATT